GTACTTATTTATTTTTAAAATGCATTTTATTTACTTTTTAGAAACAAAGGAAGAGAGAGATAGAAACATCAATGTGAGAGAGATGACTGGGAATCGAACCAAGACCTCTCAGTCCGTGGGACGACGCTCAATCCGCTGAGCCACTGTCTGGGCTATTTTCTAGTTTGTCTGTAATAAAAGGCCAAAGTAAGTGAATTTAAGACTTGTCTAGCAATCAATGTGTAACAGCTGAAATGAGATAATTGATCTGCTTAAATGGCTAAGGTTTTGTCTTTTCAATAAGGATTACCTCCCAGAAACTTGTGTTTTTAGAGATAGCTCAAATAAGAGTTCTTGAAGAAGACCATATATTTGTATTTTAAAGGCAAGCTTCTCCTAGAAGGACATTGGTTTCATAAAACCAATTATTTATAAGCATTTTGAGCCAAGCAGAGGAGGTTTGGGGAAGGTCAAAGGATTTGGTGGGCTTTGAGGTTCTGGAACCACATCTCTGGCCCTGTAAAGACTTTATTTGTAAAACAAGGACAACATTAATTTATCTAAGGACTAAACTGAAACAAAATAAACATTTTTAAAGATGATCTCAAGGAGACAACATGTAAATGAACTTATTTTAAAAATGAGTAAATTTGATAAATTGGCCATTGAGAAAATTGATTTAGAACCCCAAATCTCAATGAGAGGAAAAACAAGCTGTGGTAGCAAAAGTAATTCCATCGACTAATGCCCGCTGAGTTAGTCTTCTCTGGCAACCATAACATAATACCACAGGCTGCATGGTTTTAACAACAGAATTTATTTCCTCCCAATTCTGGATGCTGGAAGTACAAGATCAAAGCCCCATCAGAGCTGGTGTGTGATAAGGTCTCTCTCCCTGTCTTACCAATGCTGTCTACTCTGTGTTCTTACCTGGCCTCTTCTCTGTGTGCATGGAGAGAGAAAGAGAGAGATCTCTGTATCTCTTCCTCTTTTTATAAGGACACCAGTCATGTCAGATTAGGGTCTCTCCCTTACAACCTCATTTAACCTTTATTACCTCACTAAGGGTCCTATCTCCAAACATAGTCAGATCAGGGGTTAGGGCTTCAATCTATTAATTTGAACATTTAAGCCATAGCACTCCCAAAGCATATGTATGTACCACTTAGCTACTGCCACAACAATGTTATATTAAAAAAAAAAAAAAAACCCTCAAAATCTTACAAACAAATATATATATATATTTTTTTTTTTTTTTGTAGGAATAGATATGTGATAGGGATGAGGATGATCTCAGCTGGTGTTGGCTGCCTGTGGATCCAGGCTGCAGGTCGGGTTTAGTTCCCCAGGTCTCATTTTGGAGTCCAGGCTAATATATATACCTGAGGCATGTTCTTTTTATGGTGATGGCAGAATCACCAAAATTTTTTCTCTCCATGTTGTCCTTTGAATTCCTTATGTTCTCCATCTGTTCTTAGGGTTCTAAGGCAGTGCACGCTACTTTGGTTTTGAAAGTTCAAACTAATCACACTCCCTCACTCTTTGAGTCAAGAACTATCCAGAGTTCTGGTGGGAATTTAGTACAGTGTGAGCTCTATTATTGGAGAAGATGCCTTGGGCCCCGACTAAACTGGTCTTCCTGCTTTCTCCCCTCCTGATTTGAACTTTCCTTCCTAGTCACAGATATCTCTCCTAGAAAGCACCCTAAGAGTCTGCTGCATTTATGCATGGGAAGAAGAAAAGCTAGTCAAACTAACCCAGGGGAGGAGAAAGGGAGGGTGGGAAGAGCGATCCAAGTGCAGAAATAGTGCTCATGGAGGCCTTGGGGCAGGAAACAGTCAATAATAACTGGCAGCCATCGCAGAGGTCTTGAGGCATTTGAGGGCTTCACTGTCCAGGTGATGTAGTTGCTGAAGATGAAAGCCCTTGGGCAGCTTAACCTGAAGAAAATCAGACCAAGAGGGAACCTGAGAGTCGACCATACACATAAAAGAGAAAAGGACTGAACTCCACTTACTCAGTGAATATTTATTGAGTGGTAATTGGTGCCAGACATACTGCTCTGTGAGTAGGGGGTTCAGCAATGAACAAAATAGCCACATCCCTGTCCATGTGGAGCTTACATTGTTTATAGGATGGGGTACAAATAATAAGCTAAATAATTCAAAACATATACTATGATAGAAGGTAATAAGTGGTAAAGAGAAAAAATAAAGAAGAAGATTAGGGTATGTTGGCAGGATGGGGTACCATTTCATAAAATAGGGCCAGGGTATGTGACATTTGGGTAAAGGTCTGGAGGAGACGGGGCCAAGGGTAGGAGCATCCTGTACAGAGGTACAGAACCAGCAAGTGCAAACACTTGAGGGGGTTGGTGCTGGGGTGGGGGATGGGGAATAGTAAGAAGGCCAGTGTGGGGGGGAAAATTAGGAGATGAGGCCAGACAGGTAATGGGGCGGGTGGTGAGAGGAGAGGAAGAAGGGCAGATCAGCTTGGACCTTGTGGCCATTGCAGCGCTCCAGGTATTTGCTCTGTGAGGTGGGGAGTCAATGCAGTACTTTGTGCATAAGGCAGACATGGTCTGATCTACCTTTAGGCAAAGGTTGGGCTACAGTGTGGACTAGAGACCAAATGAGAGCAAAGGTCATCATTCTATGTGCACCTGAGGAAATAACGAGTCAAAGGATGGAAGGGCTGATTTCTCTACATAAAGGACCCCAATTAATTGACTGCCCATCAGTGAAACTGGCTGGGAGTTACACTCAGCAGCTTGTCACCAGCAGTCCCAGCAGATGCCAGGGATGTTGATGCTGGGAACTTTCTACCTTGAATAAGGCAGTTTACCCTCTATCATCCCAGATTTCTTCCAATACGGAGTGTCTGATTCCACAGGATGCATCACCTCAATCTTCCCCAGTGTATTTATTTATTTATTAAAGATTTTTAAATTGACATTTAATGGGAGAGAAAGGGAGAGGGAGAGAGAGAGAAATAAATTCATCAGTGTGAGAGCAGAACATCAGTGGCTTGCCTCCTGCAGGACCCCCACCTGGGATCAACCCTGCAACCACGGGCATGTGTCCTGACCAGGAATCAACCAGCAACCTTTTGGTACATGGGGTGACACCCAGCCAACTGAGCCACACTGACCAGGGCTTCCTCGGTTTAGAATATAGCTCCTTGATTGTAAGGATTTTGTCTGTCCTGTTTATTGCTCTATTGTTTGTGCCTTGAATAGTGTCAAGAATATAGTGGGTACTCAATTAGTATTATTTATTTATCTGGGCATTTTTTCCCAATTTTTATTAATTTATTTTTGTTACAGATGTTTCTCCTTTTCTCCCTCATACCCCCTCCTATTTATTTATTTTTAAATATTTTTTCCGTATTGATTTTAGAGAGAGAGGAAGGGAGGAGAGATAGAAACATCAATGAGAAAGAACATTAATTTGCAGCCTCCTGCATGCTCCCCACTGGGGATCTGGCCCACAACCTGGGCATGTGCCCTGACTGGGAATCAAACCAGTGACCTCTTGGTGCATGGGTCGACACTCAACCATACCAGCCGGGCTTAATTAGTATTTTTTAAATGTTTGAGTGTCTCAGTTGAACTTACTGCAGGGGCTTAAGTAATGTACTTTTCTTCTCTGCATGTCAAAGAATAAAAGGTTGGGTTTAATGGCCTCTGATGACTTTTCTAGGTCTGCCATTCTGTGATCTTATTTCCAACACAAAGACATTGTTTCTCAAAGTCTTTGCAGGCTATGGGGTGTTTGTGGGGGGTGCTTATGGGGAGGAAAGGCAGGGATGGGTAAGGGCAAACCTGATTTAATAAGTGAACAGATGTCTTTTGGAACTGGGGACCACGGCACTCTTTGAAAATAAATGTCAATTGTCTTTTGAGATGCACTGGTTTCAAATTCCATTCAAGGGCTGTGTTATTAGACACTGAGGTACAGGATACTGAGCACCCATCCCAAGCTTGTTGCCTTTGCCTCTTGTCAGTTATCCTGGTCAACAAAGTGTTCACAGAAGTTTCCCCAGACACACCAAATGACAAGGTTTTTTTAAAGAAAGAGTTCCTTTGCGGCACAGCATTACCATGTGTCCTCAGACACCCAGATTCCAGCAAGTTTATGTCCCCCTGAGGTTTGGCACAATTGCCAACATCAGTATACGTGCTAACTGGGCCCAAAGTGCTACCGGATAAACCAGTGAGATATGCTGTCATATTGATTGAATATAGAATAAAATATAAGAAAGATACACACAAGGTAATTGCAATAGCTTTATTATGCAGTTAAATTTAGTTAATTTTAAAGAAGAGAGAGTCTTTTCAATGTCAAGCGGAATGCATAGGAGTGTTTTTCATGCATTACTACAGTTGTTTTTAGGATAAATTTAAAGAAGTAGGTAGGGTTCCGCTTCCGTCATCTCCATCATCTAGGAGAAAAAAAAACAACAGCAAGAATTTAGTTACTTATTAATTGTGAGGCTATTAACATCTATTATCTCATTTACTCTTTATATTAATTCTGGCAGGTGGATACTATTGTTTCTTTTGATTTACAGATGAGGAAACTGAGGCTCAGAGAGGTTGTCTGGCCCATGGTCATATCAATAGTAGAGGGCAAACAGTTCTTGACCCCAGGTGTGTGCTCTGAATTCAGATGTGCACAAATTGTAGTGCATGATCCAAAAGCATTGTGTCATTACCTTTCACACTCAAATACTAGAATAATCACAATTATAACTGCAGGAAACAGTGTTTTAAATAAACCGGATCTATATTTCCTGGCAGATGATCTCAGTGTCACATGGAGACACTGGAAAACCCAAAATCTAAGGGTTTCATCTATTGGGACTCTCTACTTCTCCAGGCACCTTCCCTTGTTAGTTTTTTTACCCATATGGGCCCAAGTAGGGTTAGAGTGTGGACTGCATCTGTGATACCCCGTCATCCCCCCCTCCCATCCAACAGTACAAGGGCAGTCACCTTCTTCCTGTAGTCATTCAGCTGTTTAAGCATCCAGGTCCCTGCCTCTCCGGCCAGAGCCATTGGTGACCATGTCAGGGGGCAGCAGGTTGGTTTTTGCCACACTTCCAGATCTGCTCAGCAAGCCAGCAAGCTTATTGGTCAAGCAGGTGCCAGTGTTGCAGGCTCTCTTCTGGGCAATGGTGCTGAATTACATGATGAAGACAAATAGAAGATCTGTCAGTAAGAGGTCCGTGGGGGCAGAGCCTTCCCCATGGGACAGTCATGGTACAATTACTGTTCTGAATGGTACCAATGAACCTTAAGTGTTTCTCCTACTGAACACAATTATCATAAGCTATTTGGGAAAATGCCATTATAATTCCCTGTAGATATTACCAGGGGTGTCAAAAACCCCAAAGTGGGCTCTGGGTGACTAGCCATGGGACACAGAGCCGCAATAGCTAATTATTCCTGTATAAGTAAACTACAATTATGGCTTAGGAGACTAGAGAATATTATAGCATCCCATCTAACCCCATCACAAGGATTGTCTAGAAGCCACCTCTCACTCAAAGTCACCAAATACCCCTTCGTAGGAATACAAAATTTCCCCCCGACACACCTAGAAGAGGAAGAGAGTTTACAGCATTGATTTCTGAAGGTGTTTACCTTCTCCTTAGCACACCTGTTCTTGCTGCTTGAAGTTGGTCATGAGAACCACCCATCATACCCTGTGCTGGGCAGGTGTGGAGCCTTACCTGGAGCTATTGGCCAGCCGTGCCTTCTCAATGGCCATCTTCTTCAAGAACTCCCTCACCAGTATAGCCAGAAGGAGGTCTTTTTCCTCGTCACTGAGTGAAGCAGGATGTGAGCTGTTCTCCGAGGCAGACCTGAGAAGTAGCAAACCCAACACAAGCTCTGAGTCCTTTCTGCCCCCTCCCCAGGGTAAGCATTCAGGCTTCGTGATTCTTGGGTCTCTCTTAAGAAAGTGACAATCCCAACTCCCAGTGGACAGGACATGAGACCAGTGTCCTCTTCAGGACACTAATTCATCAGGAGCCAGGCACTGGTGTGACCAGGCAGTGTGGTGTGCCAGATCCAGATCACGTACGCTTGTGAAAGATTAATGTTTCGTAAATTTTGTGAGCATAATTTGAATATGGCCAATATTAAAAATTAAGTGATAACTTACAAGTAGTGCTGAAGCTAAAAAGATTTCCGTTTAATAAATATAATGTGTACAAGAGTAAGAATGATCAACAGCTCATATAGATTTAATAACTACAAATTTATTGGCCAAATAGATAGCCGATTAGAATGCAATCCATTTCTGAGATCATGGTTGAATTAGAAAAAATGTTCTGGAGAAAGAAAATTTTGGTAAACAACAAAATCATTCCCCTCACACCCCCACCCCCACCCCCACCCCAGTCAGTGTTAAACTTTCAGCACACCACAGCTCCGATCACAGAATTGTTTGATCCCAGGGGCTTTGGGAGGGGCGCCTGCTACTTTCAGGGCTGCCTTACCTGGATGGTGCTGCCTGGAGCAATCCCACCTGGTAAATGATCAAGATGCCGAGAGCCAAGAAGGGAAGGAATTTCGAGAAGCCCATGGTGCCTCTCTGCAAGGGAACAATCATGTTAACATCTGCATCAGCTCAAAGTTTTATAAGCCCACAGATCTGGACTGGCCCTGCTTGTACAACTTACTCTCTGGTCCATGGCTTCAGGCTGGTCAGTTACCTACACCCTTTTTGTCCCATATTGGCAAAGTGGACTGAGCCTGCAGCATGCATGGTTTAGGAAAGCTGGAAGAGCAATTCTATCAGAACAACTGGGTGAAGAGGTCTCAGTCCACAGCTCCCTCCCTGCAACCCCACCCCACCGACTCTCACATACACCTGCTGTCCAGGTCTCCGTGGAGGACAGCTTATACTCCCTGTGTGCCGCTTTTGCTCACACCTAGGGGTATAGGGGGTGGGGTGGGGGTAGGTAGAGAGGGAAAATCTGCAGTTGGAATCGCTGAGAAACTGAAGATTGCGTTCTACTCCTCCCCGCAAAGCACTGGCAGAGTCCCCTGTAGAACCAAGCTTAGCAGAGTGTTAAAGTGGGACCTAGGACTTCAACTGGGAAAAATGCGCCCAGAACCCGCAACTGGGACTTAGTTTAATGGCTGCCTGCCCTAGGTCGCTGAGCCTATTTGCCACCCACTCGCGCTGACCCGGGTTCCGAAGCAATTTCCCTGGGACCACTAGGCACGAGACCGGATCCGTGAGCGCGCAGTCCGCAGAAAGTTACTCCTGCATCCTCCCCGCGCGGTACCTGAGGAACTCCGGCGGCAGAGCGCGGTCTCAGCGCGCGTGCAGCCCGCAGCGAGACCCGAGCCCAGCTCTGCGCGGGAAGAGCGGAGCCGCCAGTCCACGGACTGAGACTGTCCAGTGCTGGCTGGGGTAGGAGTTGGGATGAATCTCGGACTAACAGGTTGTGTGATGAAGAGACCCGGACAGAAGCGGACAGAGACTTTGAGACTGGCAGGGAGATCGACCAAGAGATAGAGTAATGGAAAGAGAGGGAAGGGAGGAGAAGGAGAGAGAAATAGAATCACAGAGCTAAGACGGAGTCTCGGGGCTCACCTGGCAGCAGGTGGCAGCGGCGGCGGCGGCGGCGGAGGTGTTCGAGTCAGGCGACGGCAGTGTGGAAGTGGCAGTGACACTCCAACGGAGAAGTCGCTCCGATTCCTCTCAGCGCCAGCGGCTCCTCTTATTCCCGCTGCTCCGGGTCTAGGGGGGCGTCCAGGAGCTCCGGGCAACCAATGAGAAGAAGGATCCGGTGCCTCAGATGGATTGTGTCACCCACTTGCGTCCAGAACCTGTAGCATCCATCAGATCATCCCACTTGTATTTGCATTGAGGTCACTGATGGAAAGGGTGGGGGGAGTGGAGGGGATCAAGAACACCCACGAAGTGAGCAGGATTTTTTGAGGACAGTTTGACGTCATAGTAAATTTTACCTGTTCAGTTTCATCCGGTTTTGAACATGCATCTCGCTCCCTCCCCAGCTGTGCGGTCTTGTAGGGCAGGACTCCTGGCTCCCCCAAGCCTGACCTTCGACCCCTATCTAAGTGAGGGTGAGAGGGTTAATGCGTTACAGCGTTGGTTCTGGGTCCCAGCAAGGTGTTTAATTGCAGCAGCTGGAATCACCCACAGAGGAGAGCAGTTTGTGGGAACAAGAGATGGAGGTGGAAGCAAAAACTTTGTCAGACTGGACTCAGTTACAGCTGAGCAAATTCCTGGCGGTAGGATTATGGACAAGTAATTTAGTGCCTCGATGCACTCATCTTTAAAATGGGGACCAATGTCTTGAAGGAATGTTGTGATTAGTAATTTGCCTCGCCCCGCCCCCAGCTAGGTAGGGATCTGAAAGAGTTTCATGGGCCACATATGGGATTCCTTAAGATCCTGATCCGTACAATAGGATTCCCCACCTCCTGGGCGGCGGGACTTGCGCTGGGTGGTCCTTCAAGTGGATAGAAGGGGACCAGTGTCCCCCTGGGCCCCAGCAGGGAGGCGCAGGGCACAGATGCTTCCCCAGCTTTCAAGCAGCCCTAGCAAACTCTTTTCTACCTCGCCATCGATCACCTATTGCTCATCTGCCAGCTAGAACCATTTGCCCAGCTGCCCCTGCTTCCGGCAGCTGTTTGCCAAGATGTCCCATTGGCGTGCAATTCCGGACCTGCACGCGCATCCCCCGCACTTCGGTTCTCTAATAGAGAGCAAAGCAGGCTTGACGGGAGTCCTTGCAGAGACTATTGCTCACTGTCACTTCCAGTCATTCTCTTCCACACGCACAAACATTACTGTCTCCAAACATAAGCCCACCCCCCAAAGCAGTGGCACTCGCAAAAAGACACTGACACACAGGGCACTATGCCCGGATTCACTGAATCGTGTGGTCACATCTTGTGCGGTTATATCTACATACAGGCTTGACGGTAACCTGTTCGCATCATACCTATCCTCACTTGCAAGAATAAGCGTGCTCCCTAACACCCAACACTGCAGCACCTCGACCCTCTCACACCCTGCACAACCGGTTTCAGGACCCCTTCCCCTGAGTTTTCTGCTCCGAGCCCTGTTGGAAAGTCCCGGTCCTGACTTGCGGCTCTCCGCGGGTAAGATGCAGAGCAGGAGCTTCTCGCTGCCGGCAGGATCTCCGGGTCTGAGCGCGCAGCGCGCGCCCCGCGGCAGCCTATAAGGAGTCTCCCAGTGCTGCGAGCACAGCAAAAGTGTCGCGGCTGTGCGGGGCAGGCTAGGAGCACCTAGGTGGTTCCCAGGCAGAGAAACACGCGACCCGCCTGTTCTGTGAGTGACTCTACCAACGGTCCGCGCTCCTGTCCGTCTCCAGAAGCCTCAGCATTTCCCAGGACACACGTGCCTCGCACCACATCGCTTCTCCTTCCAGGTTGATGATCTCCATACTTGGGGACACCTAACTTCCAAGATGCCCTTATTAAACTTTCCTGCTTCTTAAATGATGGGACGCTACTGTCACGAGGGAATAAAGGCTTGGTCATGGGAACTGGGTGTGTAAAACTCGCTCTCCGCAGGTGCACTGGGAGGGGCGCAGGGGAAGCCAGGGATGAAAGAACTGTTCGGTAGAACGCAGGTGCGCCATCAGGTACAGAGGCGGGGAAGGTGAGTGAAGCAAAGGACAGGCGGGGATCAGAATGTCGACTCCTGGATTCAGTGAGTTTTGGAGCCCAGAAGCAGATAGGCGGTGCTGAGACCCAACCCCGCGCCTTGGGGCTCAGCAGTTTGAGTTCTGAGACCTGGCCAAGCTTTCCGTGCAGAGCTATAGGGTCAGATTGGCAACGGCGACAGGCTTAGTGGACACCATTTTGCTAGAAACTGGGCTCTGCCACTTGAGGCTGTTGCGAGTTTTTGCTCCCAGGTACCAAATACTTTTGTGAAAATGTTTTCCGTTCCAAGACCTGAGGTTTCTAACATATGAACCTTCTGAAATCATTTGTAAGTATGTGTCTCTGGATTGCATTTTCCTGAGGAACTTGCACCAGCGCAGTGGGGAGTGCAAAATGATTAAGGAACAACTGACTTCTCTGTAAGCTGATTTCATGGCCAAGTCACTTCCTGGGCTCAGAACACCAGCCCTGGCAGCCAGGTGTGCCTTCAACCTTCAAAGCCAACATTTATTCCCCACTCTGAAATCTTTGGTATTTACAATCCATGACTGGGGGTACAGAGCATAAGAATCAGGGTCTGCACCAGAAAGTGTTATTTCAAGCTTTACTTTAAAGGTTAGTCTCTCCAAACAGGGAGAGACTGGATTTAACTCATTCCTCAAGCACACTTTGAATTTGTAAGAAGTGCTCCTATTGAGCTGGGGTCAAGGTTTTTGTTTTGTTTTGTTTTGGTTTGGTTTTAAAAAAGAGTGTTCTTCTTTGGCACTTAGCATCATATATCCCAAACAAGTAGGCACTAGCCACTGTAGAATGAATGAAAACAAAATAATTGTGGTAAATTCACCAGCCAGTCAAAAGCTCTGATCCCAGCATGCAGAAAATCTGGACCTAGTTCGGTAGAGCAGCATTCTGCTTGGATTGGGAAGTTGCAAGAGCAAACGTTTATTTCAGTGAGACTCCTCCCATTTTACTTGGCACAACAGAGTAGGTTTCCTGATAGTTTTCAGAAATGAGACAGGGAAATACGGCTTTTGTTTTTTCTACAGACTAGTGTCTCCTAGTGTGAAATACAGAACCATTTCTCTCTGAGCCCATGTCTGATTTACTGAATGAACTCAAGGAATTTTAGACTTTGGCATGTGCGGATCCTTTAGACTAAGTCCAGCTATCCCTGAAACTTCTCCAAACTTCAGCACTCAACAGAACATAGTCCATCGAAAGCTGCCAAGGAAAATACGAGTCACTTGACCATTTGTCACTTGACTATTAGGCCATTGATTTTACCATCTTATTTCATAAGTTTTAAATCTAGAAATCAAGATCAGTTGGAAACGACCTAGTTTGGGAAAAAATTTTATAACACTGATACTCTAACTGTAATGTTTACTTCCATTCTTTTAAGTTAGATTCCTTTGCTTTTTTATTTAAAAAATAATTTTAAGATCATTTATCAGGGTGTGCCAGAGTCCCATATCTGGATGAAAATTCTTATGTGAGTTTCCATGCACTTGAAAGGTTTACACCTGTGGAGATTCAGAACTAGTCACCCCAACATGTGCTTCTGTGGTATGCGGATTGTTGGGAGCTAAGGTGAACTTTAGCTGTAGGCTTAGGAGAAACATTTGCCTTTCCCTTGACTATTTAATACATCTTGAATTAGGGGCCTTGCCCATAATGGGAGAATTTTCATTTACGAAACATCTGCACTTCTCCTCATTCTGCAAAGACTCTCTGAAGCCCCCAAGGTACCTTACCTCATCCCTAGCTCAGAATGTTTATCTACCCATGTTCACTTTCTGTCTTTGAACCTTTGGTGTATATGGGGCCTCTGGCTCTCTCATGTACGCGGAGTTCCCATACATATATACTAAGTTTGGTTATTTTGTCTTGCTAATCTGTGTCATGTCTATTTGA